CTTCCTTGTTGACACCAGTGGGAAATGATCAAAGGTAAAACAACCGGTGTCATAAACCATGAAGTGTTTTATGTGTTTAAGTTCAATTTAACTGCTATTCGAATGTTGTGGACTGTTTCCCGCCATTAAGAAAGAAAAGATAAACAGTGTCCAGAGTCCAGAGTGTGCATGTCAGAACATGAGAGTATGCTGAACTGGATCAAGTTATTACTGAGAATGAAATAACATGACCTCATGAACTACAGTAAACTAAGAATGATGATGATGAGTAGAAGGAAGAAGACGACCCACAAACTCCCTCCTCAAATGCCCGTCTCCTCAAGGTCAGCTTTTTGCCTTTATTTCACTCAGCAGTTCCACCTCAACAACGCCGTGTGGTTCAGTCAAATTTTCCCATATCAGTTATAGTTTCCCTGCTTTCTTTCTTTCTGGTTGTTTCTGCCCTCCCGTGACCATCCTAGAGCCTGTCTCTCTGCCTATTCCTGCTCACAGAGAGGCTTGTACCCTGCCTTCCCCTGCACCCTTTCCAGTTCCCTGAATGGTGGTCGCTGTGGTCCAGTCAGTCCCAGTTGCCTAGAGCAGCTAGGGCTCCGCTTGTCCCTGCAACCATATCAGTTCCTCCGGTAGCAACAGCTAGTGTCCAGCTGTCACCTGCTCCCAGCGTGAGGCCATCCAAGGCCCAGTCCACCTTTGCACCCTGGCTGGTGTCCAACTACTTCCCATGCCTGTCCCTACTCCTAGGGTGACAGTGGCCAACACACAACCTATCCTTGCACTCGTACCCATTCCTTGGATTTGGACAGCTGTTCAGCCAATCCCTTCACCAGTTCCTGTTCTAAGCACTCAACGAATCTTAATACACCATAGAAGCAGAAGCAACAGGGGTGGGGGTAAGCCGGTGTAGACAGCACATCTGGTCCTGTAGCATGATCCAGATGTGCCCCCTGACCTCGGCCTTGGAGATAAGCATGCAGAGGTGTTTGGGGTGCAAAGGATGGGAACGAAGATTCTAAACACAGTCTGTTGTCATGGAGAAAGGTCTTGTTGTCCAGCTCCAGCCTTGAGGCCACAGCTGGCGCCAATGTGGTAGACGCATGAGATGATAGTGATTTTCCTTTAGTGCAAAAACTGCATGCCAATTTTACAGTTGCTCTAAATGTCCGTCACTGGTCTCTCAATCTCCAAGATGTTATTACTATTATTATTATCTTGTTATTACTATTACTAAGCTCTTTTTAGCGGCTATTTGACCACAAACAGCTGATGCAGTTTTGCTAGATTAACCCAATGATTTAAAATCATGGTTGACATTAAATATTTTGAATGTAAATGATCAAAGAACGTAGATTTTACAATTTGAGCCCCATTATTATCTTTAGGGTGACCTTAGCCCTTTGGAAAACTCCAGAACTTTCTGTTTAAAAGATTTGCAAGTGATTTCTTTCATGGCAGTTTTTCATTTGTGAAGCAAATCAATTCCATTGTAAAAGCCAACTTCTTCCAGCCCTTGCAAAAAATAAGAACACTTTGTAATCTGCTGAGAAAGTTATTCATGCATTTATTTAATCCAGGCTTGATTACTGTAATAGTCTTTATTTTGGTATCAGCCAGGCTCTGCTCTCTCATCTTCAGCTTGTTCAGAATGCTGAATCCCGGTGGGATAAGGTAGAGATTTCCTGTCCTCTGTTGATTTCCCCTCCACGATATTCATTTGATCGTAATGCGCCTTGCTGCTACATTTATGGCTGTCCATGAAGGATTCGCGAGACCCATCCTTCAAATCTGGGGAGACAGAGGACGCATTTGTGGGCCACATTTGGAGGAGCCTTCAAATATGTACAACCTTCATCGCCTCACTGTGACGTATTCGGCCTACAAATGCGGCCTCTGAATTTGGCAACAGCCAAAGACTATGTGACTGTAACATTAAATTAACAGTGTCTTTAAATGACCTTTGACCTTCAGTTACCTCTGACCTCCTGTTGCAGGTGTGTGTGTGCTGCTGCTGTCTGCACTGCAGGTGAGTTGATGAAGTGAACCATGGTCCAGGACAAACACTGAGTCAAACACTGAAGTCCTTCACTCGTCTATCACAGAGAGACACACTAACAGAGTGTGAGCTCTCACTGACTGACTCTAAAATCAAATCTGTTCAGGTCTGTCCATAGTTTCATGTTTTGTTTAGGCGAGAGGAAGAGTTCACTCATCTTCTTTTGTGTTTTGGTTTTATTTGATATTT